GTTGATCAAAAGCAATGTTGTCATCTTGGTGACCTTTCACCCAGGAGAAGGAGTAAGTGATCTGTGGAGACTGGATGGTTKGAAAGATCTGTTCAATCAAGTCAAATTCTGGTGCTAGAGTAGCATTGGCATAGACTTCTTTGTATTCACATCTGGATTGGAGTCTAGTTATGAGCGCCTTGCTGTCACTGAAAAARGTAACCTGTGTTGGACAAGGTTTTGTGGTGCGACTAGTAGAGGAAGATGAGGAACTTGAGATACTTGTATCAGAAGAGATTGAAGGTGAAAGATGATGATGTTGGTCCTGGAGATGCATGTCATTCAGGTTGCTGATAAAAGGAGAGAAATTTTCCAATTCATTGCCTAATTGAGAATCAATTTGGAAATTTCTAACTTTTCTGTGATTTTGAGGGGGCAGTGCTGGGCATAGGCATGGGGAGGTTGGATGTGTTTCTGCGTGATCTCCCTCAGAAAATAACTTGGCCAAACTGCTCAAGTTATTTTCTAAGGTGTGTAAGGAGTGTGTATTGTCAGTACTGGTTTCAGACTGTGGACTGTTCTCATCAAGTTGAGATCTTGATTTCATTCCATATTTGGAATGGAAGCAAGGCTTCAGTTCATTGTACCATTGGAGGAGATGTGAGACAAGGAGAGTGACAAAAAGGCTAGCTGATAACAATCCAGTGGCTTCCACACGAAGCGAACTCTCACTGCCAAAGCATGGGCCATGTGCATGAGCAATTCTATCCCCAGCCGTGGTAGCCAGTGACCAACCAAAGGACATGGAACCATCTTTACCAGATCCATCTGAAACCATGAGGAGGGGTATTCTGGTAGCCAGTACATCTAAAGCTTGGGAGAAGCTGGTCTCAAACTGGACCAGATTGAGGAGTTGAAATTGCCATGGAGCAAGGCAGTGCAGAATTGCAGACCATGTCTTAGGTTCGTGATGGAGGGACCTGCTGCAGGCAGTTTGAACTTGACATGCGTTGGTAGGGTCATATTGAAAGCCATCTGTTTGGGATGTCCAAGTGACAACCGGGACGTGTTGGCCAGGAGGGTATTTACCAGAGACACTTGATGATCGCGGGGGTCCAATTCGGGTCAGTACAACAGGATGGGACTGCCACTGGCCTGGGCGTGGTGAAGTCCATATGCAATGATCATTAGACAAATAAGCATTCCATACACCATGGCTAGTATGATGAGGATGCCAGTCGCCAAGGCGGTAAGCTTTGGTCAGAATCCTGTCAGAGACAGAACCGCTGGAGACACGGCAAAGAAGTTTGTGAAAGGCATTCCAGCTTGGTCTGTAAGGCTTGGGCAATAGGATATGTAGTGGTAGGATGGTAGTATTCCAAACATTATTGGGAGAAAATGCTAGGGGACAGGCCTGTCCCTAGTCTCAGTCTCCATTGGACCCATTCCTTGCATGGCATGCCTCATTGCCATGTTACCCTGAATATCAGGATTAGTGAGAAACCTGTGTGCTGCAAAAGCAAAAGCATTTTGAGCAGCAACTGGATCATCCACAGAAGTATTTCTTTGAGCAGCTGCATCAATGACTCCATTCTGTATTGTGTCAGCAACATACTTGCTAAAGAGCTGTGGTAACAAGGACGCATCTGCTGCTGGTGGTGGTGCAGCAGCAGCAGCAGCAGCCTCCTTCTTTTCCCTGGCCTCACCAGCAGATTTGTATATGTTCCCCCTGAGGAACAAAGCATCATAGCTGCTACTGCAAATAGGACAAGAGCAAGCTGCCTTTCCATCTGCGTCTTGCTTCAAGTAATCAGCACCAGGCTTGCTGCATTCCGGACAGTTCCCTCCATCAGCTTGGTACTTGCAATGAAGCTTGCATGCCCAGCAACCAATCCACTGTCCTTCTGATGGTGAATATCTTGGCTTCTTGTTCCCCCCATTCCTCTGGTATTCCCTGACCTCTTCCATGCACTTGTCCCAGTTCTCTTTGTTCTTTTGGTTCACTTTGTTGATTGGTGTGATAGCCATGCAAGCCATACATCCACACTGAGGGCAAAGAGCCTTCTTCAGCTTGGATGGGTCAAAGGGGATCTTGTCTTGCTTCCTGTCCCCATACTTCTGTTGCTTGATGGAAGATTTCTTGGTCAGCTTTTCAATTGCCTTGTCTTCCTGTTTGTCAACAGCTTACTTGACAGCCTTAGCAATGGATAGAAAGAGGGGAAGAGCTCTTGTGTCATTGCTGCTGCTCTGGAAGGCTGGGGACAGGGGCCCCTGAGGGTTTCTTCTTGTTGCTCATACTGTTGACGACAAAAAAGAACCAAGCTGTTGTAAAAAAACAAGCTACACTGAACACACTATAAAATGGGTTATACTTGCTTGTTTTATACAGTTCAAAGCTTGTTCAATCGACAATTAAAAAGAGCTATCGATCGATAACACTTACATTAGAAAAGAGTGAGTGGAAGTCCTTGAAATGGAGCAATTTCCATGGTTGGTTGCTTTGAACCAAGTAGTTTTTTTAGAATGAAAAGAAGAGTTTAGATCAGATCCTAAATCAGCAGCACACTGTATCAGCACACTGGAGGCAGGTAAAGGTGAAGACACTAGTAGGCTCCAGTTTAATTTTGAACCTGCAATCAAAACCCTTCTATTTTGAGCAAAACCTGCAATCTTGCTTCTTGTTTCCCCCAGCTGAGCAGCTGTTGGCCAGCTGGCACAACAAGGTGCAGGGCTAGTACTAATTGTACCTAGTCCTACCTAGCATAGTTGCCAACTTGGGCCGGAAGTTGACAACTTTGATTCAAAGTTGATAACTTTGTTTTAACACTTTAACTCTTAACTAAAAACTATTTGCGCGTTGTGCAACCCCACTTTCAATTGTTAAGAAACTCGTAGTATACTGTCAATTTTGCTAAAAAAAGATTTGTTTTGATTGCATGTTCAAAATCCTACTAGGCCTACACTGGCCAACCCAAATCATCTGCTATTGCTGTAAATCAAGACCATCAGCTGCATCATAACAAGAAGACCTCTAGGACATCATTAGCTGCAGGAGTAGTATTTGGAATATCACCAGCATTACTAGAGTCTTATTTGAACTGGATCAAGGCATATGTTTTTTGCCGGAGAAAATCTATGCTATTTTATTGAGGCATTCATGTGTTCCTCACATGTATTGGACATCATATTCAATGTGATACAGTCCCCCTTCTTGCTCAAGCTTCAGCTGAGTAGTTACTGCCACAGCTGGAGAGCACATTCCATGCTTTCTTATCATGTTTTTCCTGTCCCTCCCTTCAGTATGATGGAAAGAAGCATTCAGTACATTGAATATCTTCAGTCTCCCATTCACATTTTTGTGTCTTCCCCAAATGATTGACTTTTCTTTGCTTTGTTTGCTGTTAATCCCCTGGTTTGGAGTCTTTCCCTTTGTTGTTCCCCTCAGTCCACTATCAGCTTCCACCATTTCCCAGTCCGCAAGGTCAGAATCAAAGATGCATTTCTCAGAAGTCCCACCATGAAAGGGACCATTAATCCAAACAATATGACTGGTTTCAATGCAAATTCCAACTTTGTACTGTATTACTGGACCATTGAACTTCCCTGAGTACATGTCAGTGCTAAATGGATAAGGTTCTTAGCTACTAGCATGGGCAATCTGTCCAGTCTACGGATATCATGCAGTCTGCTTTAGGCGCGTACTCCCCAGTTGTTGGTACTGATTGGAGGTTGACCAAGGAATCTGTTCTCCCATACAATAACTTGCTCTTGCAGCTCAAACATCTTTCTGACAAAATACCATGACCATTTACTATGAAATGTTTCCCTACTATGAGGCCATTCAACAATACTATAGGATTTTCACACAACTCTAGGTGGTATTTGTTGATTTGATTGATTTGACAGACTGAATTTTCAAAACGATTTGTTTTCGGAAAAGATTTTGTTGTTTGTCAAAATACCGGGGGTCCAGTGTTCGGTTAGGTGACGGCCTGGGTTGGGGTGGTTGGTGATGAGGTCTATTGGTGTTATAGGTTTCCTTGTTGAGGCAGTGGGATGCGGAGGTGGTCATGTTGTGGGCGTAGGCTTAGGATGTGGGAGAAAGACAATTCTTGGATTGTGAGGGTGATGGTGAGGGTGCTCATTAGGTTGATTGTTGTGTTTGTTGGAGGGTGATGGGCTTTTGAGGCATGGGGGTCCTGTGGTGCAAGGGCGGTGGGGTGTTGTTTTTGGGAGTTGTGTCTTGTAGGGTGGTGAAATTTGGCAGGGGGGTGGGGGTTAGGTCTGCTAGGTGGTTTGTGCTGGCCGATTTTGTGCCGTCAGTTATGGATGGATGGTTGGTTGGGGGTTTCGGGGTCGTGGGGTCATGTGGTGCTGGGTGTTGATGGGGGTGAGCAGTTGTGTGGTGCTGGGTGTTGGTGGGGGTGGGGGTTGTCAATGGGGTGTCAGGGGTTGATGTTTTTTATGGTGATGCCAGAGGCTTGGGGTGTAGTTGTGCAAGTGCCGGGGGTTTTGGTTTGGCGACAATGTGATTTGGCAATGTGGTTTTAGGACGGCGTTGGGTTTGTGGGTTTGGCAATTTTTGGTGGCCGTGGGGCAGTCTGGGGTGGTTGTCTCGTTTGAGGTGGGCAGTTGTGTCATGGTGTGGGAGGCACATTTTGTGACGTTTTTGGTGTTTTTGCTGTACAGTTTTTTTGTTGGCGATCCGTCGGAGCGGAGCAGTGTTGTGTTGTGTTGGTGTTGTGGTGGTGAGAGTGAAGAGTGCTGAATTCACTGGTTTCATTAGTCTCATCTCACCACAACAATACCATCTTACTGCACCGCTTGCTGAAGAATGAGCTTCAAGGCTCTGTGCTTTCCTTTGTTGGGGGGTACACTGCCTCGGTTGGTTGGTTTCGCTTCTGTCGTCTGTCCGTCGCTCCCCACACTCATTTAAAATGATTTGTTTTCGGAAAAGATTTTGTTGTTTGTCGAAATTAAAAAAACCGAACGAATTGGTTTGACTTTGACTGAGACACCAGGGCAATCAGAAAAGATGCATTGTCTGTTTTTGCAGCAATCACAGTAAAGATAAAATGAAAATGAAACGATGAAGAAAAAATGTTCCTGGATTAAATTGCAATTGCATCATGTCTTCAAAACCTTCTTTTTCATCTGCTCACAGCAATAGCGACAAGAAAAGATCCGACAGCGCTGTCTGGATGGAAGAAGAACGCTGTACAAAATATGATACTATCGTTGATGAACAAGACTGGGCAAGGACGATAGTGTCCGTCCCAAGCAGCACAGGCAACATAATTGAAGATCTCCAGGGCGATGAGGGCGTATCTGTGTTCAGCATAACTACAGACTTCGGTGGCGAGCATGGTTCCATTTCTAACGAAGTGGATTTGGGTGATGATCTCGATGATATTTTCGATCCTACAAAAGAAACGTCTACAATTGCCGACCAAATCAAAGTCGACTTTACGGATAGTGATCCACTTCATAACAACGCCCTTGTCGTGTTAGGGGACGATTACGATGCCAATATGACGACAGGCGACAACAAAAATAGAACGCCTAATCTAGTGACTAACACTCCAATGAGGAGGCCGAAAACATCAAAGATCAACCCCATGTCTGGACAAAAAGCGTTGACCGATGACAAGCAAGAGTGGAGAAATGATATTCTCTCGTCGTTTGCAAGAATAGTGACACCGAATAAGAGAAAACGAAAAGAGAAGCCGACGCTGAAGAGAAAATACAAGATAAAGTCCACGATGGAAGACAAAAAGAGGTCTCCAATTGAGAAGCCGCATACATACTCTCTGCGGAGGGGATCAATTACAAATAATAACGCCAATGAATACCTGACAAATCCTCTTTTCCAATCAAGTGGAAGTACTTCAGGTCATAGGAAACGTCGGCTTCTTCAAGAAATTGAATCCTTCAACAATCCAAGTCTGAAATCCTTGAATGGGGCTGGTTCAGTATCTGTTCACGCCAAACCAATGTTCGGAAATCAAGGCCAGACGCTGCGAAAGACAGGAAACACGAAGTCAGCACTCTCACGACCTCTTGCGACTGGTGCAGTGGCAGTTTTGAATACGAAGTATCTGATGAGAGGCACGATGTCATCGACGAAGCGAGTATCGAAAGCGAAGCCAAAAAAGGAGACAAGCAAAAACCGGAAGGCGAGGAATTCCTGCAGTAATCAAAACCGAGATACCACTACAAATATGTCGATAAGGATAGCAAAGAATTTCCGTTTCAAACCGCAGGGATGCGAAGGTCGTACAAAGTGGAAAACTTATTTTGGGACGGTTGTCAGCAAACGAGGAGTCCAAAAAACTAAATCCTACGTCTGGACTTTATATCATGTCGTTTATGATGACGGTGATGAAGAAGATTTCAACTCAAGAGAGTTGAAACAGGCATTGGATCTGTACGAAGCTTCGAAGGAACTGGATGGCGAGACTAAATGCGAACCATCACTGGAGCCTGAGGACGAACGAAAGAATCCACAGAATACCGAAGAGATCCACCAATTGCCGCAACTGTCAAACAAACGCATAGAAGTCGTCCTCCACAATCACGGACAATCGACAACAAAGCAAGGATCGTCGTTGCAAAAGGACTTAACACCTGCTAATAGTTTCACTCGAAATTCAGAGGCTGCAAAAAACATGAAACTACAGAAAAGAGAATGCACAGGTTGCGCCCAGGTGCAAATCGACATTAGTAAGAAAAGAAAACATTTGAATCAGCGACAAGAAAGACAGAAATGTCAACGCTGTTATTATGACCTCACTCAAAGTCGTGAAGTCGTTGATCTATCGAAAGAGCAAGCAAGTGATGACGATTCAGTGCAAGTGCTAGACTTGATAGACCTATCTTAGTGCTAGTGAATTGTAGCCACAATTCATGTTCAAAATAGACCAAAACAAATTATGAAGTGTACAGTAAAAAGTTCTGAATTCTGTAGTTTTTGATGCAAATAATTCCAGAATATTGTGAAACACTAAAGAAAAATATTTCCACCAGAATATTGTGAAAAATTAAATGGACTTTTGATACACAATTGATGACTGATAGTAATACTAGTAGTAGAAATACTAGTAATAGTACCTACTACAAATAGCAGTACTAGCAAGCTACTAGTAGTACTTTTTCTTCTTGTCTACTACTAGTACTACTAGCAGTAGTAGTTCACAGGCCACAACAAACATAAGCTGTCAAATCAGTCCAACTACTAGGATCCATCAACCTGGTGGTAAATGGCTTAACATTGTTGCAACTTTACAGGCTTGGCTTGCCTTCTTGTCCTGTGGGACTGATATTTGTTATTGGGTCATTCTCGTATACATAGAATCTATGCTGACATACTTTACAAATTGTTATTACAGGATTGAGTATGTAACCAAATGAAATCTAATTTTGGAATAGGGAATTTTGCTTGATATTAACAGAAAATAACTGAATTCTTGCCAAATATTGAGAACACATGGTGCCAGCAAGCATGCCAAAACAAATCCAAAATGCCAAGTGAACCACAACTTGTTCACTGTACAACCAATGAAGTACTGTATGTGGTAACAGACTGGAGCTCTTATCTACTGACTAGCATCCTTACTAAAAGGACATCTTAATGATGTTGATGCCAAGAAAGAACCCTGATAGACTCATGGTGTCAACAGGAATTAAAAGATGAGAACCCTGAGAACCCCCCCCCAAAAAAAAAGAACCTCAAGGAGGAACTGGTTGAAATGTAACAAATTGCATGTTTTTTGAGGGGTTGATTTTGTCATCCATTCCAGACACAAAAAACATCAATTTCCCAACATAGATTGTCCACAAGATGATTTTAACGACAAAACACCACCACCAGCAAGCACCAGTGTAAGGGGGAGGCAGGAGGACTGGTACAAGCAACTTTATCACTCAGGAAACCATTGACTTGATGTATGCCATCTTGGCAAGGCTTCCTATTGGGAGTTGTCAGTGGCATGAAGTAGAAGCAACTCAAGCACAGAACTATGCTGATGCCAATAGGGATGTCTCCTTCATCTGTAGGAAGTATTTATCACTTCATAGGAAGAACATCCCTACTGGAGATCCAAACTGTCCTTTGGCAGTGAGACTTGCCAAGAGGCCCAAGTATTTGATTGGCTCCAAGGCAGATATTGGAGGTGGAGAGGAGTACTTTGATATTGAAGAAGGATATGAGCATCCTTAGGGTCACAATGGTGATCCTGATGGTAATCATTGAGCTCGTCCTGGCAATATCAATATCAACAGAAGCAATTTTAGTCTTGACAGGAATAATGCCAACAACAATGCTAACAAAACAGATGCAAGCTTCCTTGCAGGAAACAGAAGATTTACAAGAACAAGAAGAACTCACTGAGCAGGAAGAGACCCACCAGAACATTAGCAATGGCACAGCTGTTGCAGTTGCAGTTGTCAATGCAATAGCAACTGCAAGAGCTGTTACACCAAAGAGTGCCCGGATATTAGATTATGGGTATGATTCATATGTAAAACATATACATATGACACATACCTATGATTTATACATACTCTACATTCATGATTCATTTTATCCTATGGATCCATACGATTGACTTCATTCATTTCATTCACTCACATGACTGACTTGACTCATTCAACTCACACATCATTCGATCTTCATTCTGATCAATTGTAGATTTCTTAGTTTGCCGATCCTCAATAAGAACATTGACTCACTTGTTTACTAGCACACAATTTACATCAATATTAGATAGTCACTCCCACAGGTTATGACACCCTTCAAATAAAAACACTCCCACTACTGTGGCACCGGCAGCAATGATGATTCATTATCTGATTTTTCCAATTAGAGGAATCCCATTGTCAATTGTTCCTTTTTTATTCTTTATTTTCTACATTCAGTTTATTTCATTGATTACTAATTCACATTTTCCATTTGGTTTGTACTGACTGCTGAATTATGGAACAGCAAGTGGATTAAAATACTGCTTGAGTGACTACTACCTGTACTCATACTTGTTAGCTTCTTGTGTTGTTCTGTACTGTTTCTACAAAATTTTAAGTCTTACAACGCCTAAAAATACCCCAACATGCATTACTTTTATTAATGACATACAACCCTATATTTCTTAATGATTTCCAATTTGTTGCCTAACTGCTGCATTAAAAATGAATCCTGCTATCATTTCTCCATAGAACATGAATATCTCTTATGATAATGTAAATTTCAGTATTGTATAGACTTGGCCAGCATATGTACAATAATACTGTACATTTTGGGCCATCTTTTTCCCATGTAAAATATGTCAAGCGTGGCAACTGACATCACAAAATCTTGTCAAAACACCCCATTTTTGCTATGGAATTTTTGTCATGATGTCTGTCAAAGTGCTGGAAATATTTCTCAATGATCATATTTACCTGGTGAAATAACATCCAATCCTGCACTAATACTGATCCTTCATGATGCTGATTGGAGCAAGGCGACTCTTTGTCAGTTGTTGGACACAGAGGAGTCCTCACAACCATGTGCTGAAGCTACCATAATTTCAGTGAAAGCGCTTCTCGTTCCAACAACCAACATCTTCTTGCCTCCCCTCCACTGACACTAATCAGTCACACTATAAAGCAACAGTTCATCTCCAGCAAGAGTATCAGCAAGAGTATCACCAACAGCAACTCCAATAGCAACACTAACAGCAATGACACTAA